GTCCCTTAAGGTTCACTTAGAACTTCTGACCCCCAGAACTGTACCCTGAGGAACTGGTGTGGTTGAGGGCCCCAAGTTTGCAGTGATTTGTCATAGGGGCCTGGTGACTAACACTCCCGGGGCGTCTGGAGGGTTCCACACAGGACCTGCGCAGAGGCACTCGGTCCATGCATGGAGGTTCCTGCCTTCCACCAGCTGAGGCCACCCAGGGCGTCTCATCCACCCTCACCCTGCTGGGTCCAAGCAAGACGCCCCCACCACCTCCCTGTCCTCTTCCCTGCACAGCACTGCCGGGACCCTTCCAGGGCTGGGGGCTTCACCACCTACAGCAGCCTGCCCAGAAAGCAGAGCATGATGCCAGCACGGGGTCACCTGGGGTCAAGGTCACGGGCCCCCGAGGCCAGCCCTGCCTGGGAGGCTCCAGGGTCAGTCCTTGGGCTGAGCCTATGCCAGCCTCGCCCCCACGCACCCACGTGGCACGGGCGTTCCTGGCAGCCAGCTCTCTGGTCCCCAACCTTCTCTGGCAGGTTCTGTCTCCCCACCCTCCTGGCTTCGCTTCCAGAGCTCCGGATGCTTCTGATTTCCCTCCCAGGGTCCTGGCATGTGTGCCCAGGGCAGGGATCCCTATCTGATGCCACAGCCACGGGGCACCTGCTGCGTATGGACACAAGAAGGCACTGCCGGGGCCTTGGGGAGGTGGTCTCCAGGGCCCTGGGAGCTGGGTCTCCACTAGGGTTCCAGGGCAGGCAGAGAGACTGCCTGGAGGGGGTGCTGAGCGGGCCGGGCACAGCTGCAGCAGGTGTGAGGGGGCTTCCCAGGACCCCCTTGGCAAGGGCGCAGGAAACCCCACCAAGAAGGGAACAGGAGGAGCAGCTCCAGGGATCCAGCGGGAAGCAGGGCTGGCTGGGCCTTCAGAAGCTTGGCTGTGCCTAGAGGAAGTGGGGGGCTCTGGGGTTTCCAGCGAGGCTGGTGAGAGCTGTCCCCCATCCCCCTCCGTAGGGCCCAGGGGCTGTGGGGTTTGGGAGTCACATCAGGCCCTGCGAGGCAGCCTCTCCCCAGGAGCCAGATGCTCCACTGGGCCGGAGCCCCATGCCAGACACCCCACAACTGTCCTGCCCAAACAAGAGGGGCTCAGCACCCCCCCGTGTTGCACGGCCCCCGTGCTCCAGGCCTTTCTTGCGACTGCAGCCCCTAGAGGTCTCACGTCTCACCAATTCCTCTGCTGGGGGACTTTGAGGTGGGCCCTGGCTGGGCCTGCTGCACTGGGAGAAAAGAGGCCCCACCCGCAGCTGGCCTGGCCCCGGAAGCCCCCGGGCCCTGGAATCAGCAGCTCCCTCCTCCCCGCCGCCTCCATCCCAGCCTCAGGCGTGAGTGGCTACTGTGCAGCAGCTGGGCTTGGGCTGTGCTGGAGGTGGGGCTGGAGCTCTGGGCCCTCATCACCCGTTCTCAGCACCCACATCACCTTCTGTGGGAGGCCTCCCTGATCACCCCTCGAATGTCAGCCCTGAGGCTCTGCTGTTTCTGCCGTGCCCTCCTCACCATCTGTCCTTGTTTCCGTGCTTATTCTTTTCCCCTCCCATAGGCCCGGGGACAGGGGCTTCCCTGCAGGTCTCTGCCCCGTCCGTCCGCAGCACCCAGCCCACCATGAGGTCCATGCCTGGAGGGCCTCCCTGTCACCACCACAACTGCGGACGCAACCTGCCAGCCCCACCACTCAAGCCCTGGGTCCCGGGGAGCCTCAGGGAACCTCAGAAAGCTCAGGCCCCCAGCTACAGCAGGAGAGGCTTGGGGGACGGACCGTCTCCTCCATCTGCAGAAATGATAGATAGACTCTAGGGCTGTAGGAGCCCCTGTGTCACGAGAGAAAGAAACTTGGCACTTTGGGGAAGAAAGAACAGAGAGGCTGGAGCAGTGAGGCCATCAGGGTGGAGGCCCGCCCCGCACAGTGGCCACTCTCCCTACAGGCCTCCAGGCCCCTGCTGCTGCTGTGCCTTTTCCAGGAAAACTCCTACTCAGCCTCTGAAGCCCAGCACAGAAGCCCATTCCCCTTGGGCAGCTCCTCTAGATGCCCCCCTAGGTCACACTGGGAAAGAATCCCCAACCACACCAAAGGAGGTGCACAGTGGGCACCTGGCAGGGCCAGGGAGAGGCTCCCCTGGGAGCCTGGTGGGGGTAGGGTGGGTGGAGCTGGGAGAGAGGAGAGGGCGCTCTGGGGTGCAGGTGAGGGCTCGGGGGGCTTCCTGCAAAAGAAGGGCCTGCAAAGAGAAAAGGGGGCATGAGGACGCCTGGCACAGATTAGAGGCTCAATGTTGGCTCCAGGTAGGCAGAGAGGAAGGAGAAAGGGAGGGAGACAGGAGCATGAGTGCAGGCAGCGGGTCCCCAAGTCATGCCCTTCAGAAGAGCAGACTAGTGTGAGGGTGGGAGTCAGGGGCTCACAGCTGGAGCGGGGAGCAGGCACAGACAGGAGGTCACTTAGCAGCCGCAGGCCCTGAAACCCATCTGGAGGTCCCCCCACACGTCTTCTCACTGGCTGGGCATCCCCTCCTCCAGAGCTCTCTGGGGCTACTGTCCTAGGCACTGCACCTGCACACAGGGGTTCCTCCCAGCCTCCCTCTGGGGTGGGGGTTCACAGTCGTGCAGCTCTCCAGGCTACGGTGCTCCCCCACCTCAGGACTCAGTTTCCCCAGAGGTGATAAAAAGGTTGGAAGGGGCCAGTTTCTGTGATCGCTCTGTGTCCAGAGCTCCACGTGGCATGGGGAGGAGCAGGCAGGGGCGCTGAGCACAGCAGGTGGGAGGGGGACAGGGCCAGTGTGAGGGTGAGGGACAGTGTATTCATCAGGGTTCTCTAGAGGGACAGAACTCACAGGACAGATGTATATATAAGGGGAGTTTATGAAGGAGTATTAACTCACCTGATCACAAGGTCCCATAATAGGCCATCTGCAGGCTGAGGAGCAAGAAAAGCCAGTCCCAAAGCCGAAGAACTTGGAGTCCAGTGTTCAAGGGTAGAAAGCATCCAGCACAGAGAAAGCTGCAGGCTGGGAGGCTAAGCCAGTCTAGCCTTTTCACGTTTTTCTGTCTGCTTTATATCCTAGCAGAGCTGGCAGCTGATTAGATGGTGCCCACCCAGATTGAGGGTGGGTCCGCCTTTCGCAGCCACTGACTCTAATGTTAATCTCCTTTGGCAACATCCTCACAGACACACCCAGGAGCAATACTTTACATCCTTCAATCCAATCAAGTTGACGCTCAGTATTAACCACCACAGGAGGGGAAGGTCAGGGCAGGTGCCAGGGGCGGGGCAAGGGGGCAGGGCGAGGGTGAGGGGCGGGGCAGGGCGAGGGTGAGGGGTAGGGGAGGGAGTGACAGGCGGGCAGGTTGCGCAAACATCACTGCCTCAGGGTCTCTATAGTTAGAGCCCCGCAGTCCAGGGTGACCCTTGAACTACAAGGACCCCAGGGCCAGTGGCCCTATTCCTGGCCCCTGCAGAGCCTGGGGACGGCATCGAGGGATCCTGCCAAGGCTCTGCACAGCAGGGCGGCTCCCATCCCTCCCGCCTGCTTAGTCCCTGGGAGACTCCGCTATCTGGTGGGGAGTGGGCCCCCCAGGGCCCTTCCCTTCTCTGGGAGAACATAGAGGCACCCCGTAAATCATGATCCCTGCCCCACGGCATCACTCACCAATCCCCACACAGCCCAGTCGGGAAGGAGCTACTATGAATCCCACTTTACAGATGAGGAAACTGAGGCACGGAGCGGCTCAGCAGTTTGCCTGGTGTCAATAGGGAGGAAGCATCGTTTGAATCAGACACAGTGGCCCCAGGGCTCATGTTCTTGGATCTGTCCCCGCAGCCCCCAGGAGCACGGAGGGCCTTGGGCTGAGCAGAGGTGCCTGCTTCCTCCAGATCACAGCCTGACAAGCTGAGCATCCTGGCCCTGAGCTCTGCAGCCCACTCTGTAAAGCGGGGGACAGATGACCTGTGGACTGTGACACTGTTAGTTCTCCATCTACCCTTGCTCCCCCTCCCTGGGACTCAGTTTCCCCAGCAGTAGCAAATGAGTTGGAATGGGTGGGTCTGGAATGGATGGATGGTCCCAGAGTAGCCCAGGCTGCCCCCCTGGGGAGGGAGCTCTGCCCAGCGCAGGCTGCAGGGAGGGGAATGACGTCGGGGCAGGGACTCCAGGGAGCATGGCTGGGACACTGAGCCTGTCACCCTGACTTATGGCTGGATGAGCAGTGAGTCACTGCCTGTTATAGGCTGTGTCATGCACCACCTCCCTGGGGCGGCCCCTTGCCCTCCTGCCCCAACCCTCAGGACACCCAACTTTCAAGGCTAGCACCCCCACCTACCGTTGGGATGTTGCTAAAGGTTAGGGTAGTGTGTGCTGGGGGACGCCCTCTCCCTGGCCGTCGAGGGCCCAGGCTCAAAGTCCAGAGCTGCCTGCCTGCTGCACCAGGCTTCTGTCTCAGAAGTCCTCGGCTGGCAGGAGGGGCCCGGAGCCCACTGGCCATGCCGGGCCAAGCCCAGGCTCAGGTGCAGAAGGCCCAGGTGAAGCCCGAGGGCCGAGCCACTTCAGGACAGTGAGAGGTGCAGGGCACACTCAGGGTAATAAAGTGCCACAGGCACAGGTGCGTGCCTTCACCTCTCCAGTGGCCAAACATTTTAAACAGAAACATTAGGCGTGGAGGGGGAGGAACCAGGCCTGCCAGTGCACAGCTGAGATGTCCTTCATTTCTGGAAGGGATCTGTTAAATGACATGTCTGTAACTGTCCCCACAAGCCCTCTTCGGGGAACTTGGAAAGGCCACTCACTGCAGCCGTTTACATGGGCTGGGAAAACTGGACATACCTGCGTGTCCATCTCCGGGGACTGGCCAAAGCTCCTCACGCGTCCCATCGCAAAACATCCTGCAGCTGTCAAGGCAGGGAGGGCAGACGCCCAGCCTTCCGGGGGCTTGTGGGGAAAGGGTGGTGTGTGGGAGAGGCAAAGGATCATCGCTTTTCTTTTAGAAACTGTATTTTCTAAATGGTTACTGTCCGCGTGCATTACTCTTTCAAAAAGAAAGTCCAAAAGGAAATCCTATGAAGGGCTTTGCTTTTGCAAAAAGAAAAAGGAATTAATTCTTCTTGCCTTAGCACCCACCATCTTCCAGATAAATCCCCAACTCCTTGGGCACCCCCGACCCCCAGGTGTCCTTCCCCATCTTCAGTCACCGCAGTTCCAACCACTCACTCATAGCAGTCACTCTCTATGGGCCTCAAGACCCTTCTTACTACCCCTAACCTGTTCCCTCTGCCCTGAAAACCGTTTCTTCTCATTTCACTCAGCAAACTCCTACTCATACCTCAAAGCCCTGCCCAAATGCCCTCTCCTCTTTAAGGCCAACAGACACACTTCCATGGTGGATAAGCTCCAGGCTGGGGCAGGCTGACCTGGGGACCCTCTAGGTTCTTCCTTATGGAGCCTGAATTCATTGGTCTTCAGCTATAAAACAGGGCATGATGGAGAGTGCTGTCTTCATGAGCTCTAAGTGGTTGACAAGGATGATGATAATGATGACAATGATGCCATCATTGTGAGGACAACAAGCCAGACCGGGGTGAGCTCTTCCCACCTCCCACCTCCCTGCGAGGCTGGGCTCATCACCCCACTCCTTGGATGAGCACTCTGGGCACATGGGGTGCTGACTTGCTCCAGACACAAAATGAAGGAAGGGCTGGAACTTGTACCAGGAGGGCCTCCTGCCGAGCCTGAGTCTATGTGCCCAGAAGCCTGTGTGGAGGACCCGGTCTCAAACTCATTTCCTACTGATTCCCAGGGCTTCCTGGTCAACCGGTCCGTGGCCACAGGGCCAGTGTAGCTCAGGGCCACAGCTGGGAGGTGGGCAGCGGAGGATGGCTCCCACTCACCCGTGCCCCAGGTGACAGGTTCCTGCCCAGAGGGGCCTCTTCAACCACCGGCACCCCTTGCCCTGTTGGAAGAGAAAGAGCAAGAGGAAGGGGGTATTCACGCCACTCCCTCTCCCTCCACCCCCAGCCCCAACAGCCTGCAGGGGCCAAGGCGGGGGTGGGGAGGGCAGACTGGGCAAAGCCCTGGTGTTCTCCAGCCAAGGCCAGGGGATTATGCGGCCAGATAAGGCCTCTGGCTGGAGCGGGGCGCTTATCAGACCTCGGGCAAAACCAACAAAGGAAAATACCGCAGCAGGGGTGGGTGAACGCCCCATCCACCCTCCCCGGTGCAGCCCTCTGTAGCCTTCTGTCCTCTCCTCGTCCCAGGGTGGGGACTAGCCCTGACTTCAAGGCTTATCTCCAGGGAAAATGTTCCCCTCCTTGAATCAGGTGCAAATGCTGCCAGCTGCGTGACTTATCAGTCCCCAAGTAAGGAAAGTGTGAACAGCCTTGGGGGAGACACCAGGAGATCTGCGGAGGCTGGGGAGCCCCCGTCTGCCTGGTAAACAGGCCCCGCCTCACCCAGAAAAGGAACCCGAGCAGGGAGAGCCCCACTCCTCCCTCCCCAGGCTCTGAGACCCCAGGACTCCACAAGCTGAAGTCAGTTCACAGAGAAAAGATCCCATCCCTCCCCCAGCTCTCAGCGGGGAGGGGCAACAGATGGGACGGTGGGGAGCGCAGAGCCACAGTCAGACCTGTCCCGTGGCTTAGTCCAGCGCTGCTGAAGGATGTCCGTCCGGAGAAACCTCCTTTCTGCGAGAAACCGTCGCAGAGCCACGGTCAGTGCCTCAGAGAACGTAAATATCTGAGCTCTCGCTCCCAGCCCCAGGCAGGGCTCCTGAGCCCGCCAAAGACGGAGGGCAGAGACCCTTCCTAAGCCTATTTCTGTTTATTTCCTCCTTGTGTTTCAACTCCGCAGCCCTCTTCCAGGAATGCCTGTGAGGGCCCCGCCAGGCTTGCTTTGAGAAACCTGCTCCGCGGATTCCATTCATCCAGGCCGATACGGGTGAAGGAGGGACCTCCGAGGTCTGTCCCCAAGAAGATAGAGATAAATGTATCCCATGTATCCCCTCCCATCTCAGTGGCTCCCTAAGCCATCTCTAAACCTCCCAAGCACCAAAGCTGTGGAGAACTTCCCCCACCAAAGGAGGGGCTGTCCTTCGGCCATATGCCGTTGGAGAGCACACTTAGAGGCCAGCGTTCCAACAACAGCAGCCACCGTCAAAGGCTGTGCAGTTTACACGCTGTGTCCATAGCGCAGACGTGGGCACACACAACGCTGCCCTCTGCAGCGGAAGTTGGGTGCACACCGGGACCTGTGGCAAAGAGGCCGTCCCCAGCTGTGAGCTCTGTGCTTAAGCATGAGCAAGCCCGCTGCTTCTGAGCGCCCCGGGACAGTCCCATGACACAGGCGTTAGCCCCTCTTACAATGGAGAAACCAAGGCGCAGAAAGGCAAAGTCCTGCTCAAGTCACAGGGTGACCGGTAATGAGTGTCCAGTCCCGAGTCCAGGCCAAGTGACCTTCCTGAGAAGGATGGCCTCCCCGTGGGGGGTTGGGTCTTTCAATGAAATATCTGAACCAGGGGATGGGCCACGAAGAGGCCCAGCAGGGACTGGGTGAGACAACAGGGAGCGGGGGCGTCTACGGCAACCAAGGGCACTGCCTGTTCCGAGGGAGGATCCCCTAACTTGTAGAAACAAGCCCACCGTGGTCACACTTGGCTGTCAATTTTTTTCAAGAAAAATAAATCTGGGCTTTTACATGAATTGTTCCAATTTTTAAAAACATGGTAGGATAACCACAGCCACAGGTTTGCAGCCTCTGACCTCAGACAGGAAGGCATCTCCAGCCAGGGCGCCCACGGTGCTGGAGGTGCTGGGGGCTGGGTGGTGGTCTCCGCCCCCGCCCAGGGAACTCGTGACAGTCACTGTGGGAACTCCCTGGCCCTTTCTGCATCGTCTATACCTCAGCGAGACTCCACAGTTTCCCTGTGTGCCTCTCCATGCCTGCCATCCCACCCTGGAAGGCTCCAGAGGGCAGCCACATCAGCTCATTCACCCTCGTGTCCCCCTGTCTGGCCCATGGCAGACGCCATCACAAACTTGGAGAAGGAGTCAAGGAGAGAACACATTTGCTCTTCCCTGGCTGTGCCCAGCTCCAGCTGGCTCTGACTGGGAGACGGTGCCCCCAGGAATAAGCCCTCCCTATGCGCTGGGCACGCTTTGGAGCCCCTCAGTCCTGGGTTGGCTGGAGTGGGCCACAGCTACAGAACGGCCCCCAGGCTGGGTGGGTGGACCTTGGGCCCTGAGGGCTTCTGTCTGCAGCAAGAGGGGAGGGGGCTGCAGGGGCTGAGGGAGGTCAGCGGCTGCCTCTGGCGCCTCCCTGTCAGCGTGCTGGGCGAGTTCTTCAGCCTACAAGATGCCAGGAGCCCCTTATCTCCCCTCCAGAGGAAGCCAAGCCGGGGCAGGGGATCCAGGGCTCGGACGCCAGCCCGTGTCTGCAGGAGGAGACAGGAGACGCTGGTTTCCCTCAGAACGACCCATCTGGAGACAAGTTCCAGCTGCAGCGGCTGCGGCTGCTCGGGAAATTCTTTGCACATGAGGAATGGGCTTGGCCATCTCCAGTCAGGCACTTGGAGGCAGGCGCAGCCTGGGACGGGGAGATTCGGGGTGGAGCAGGGCAGCTATTGTGGGGGTCAGCCTGAGAAGGCGTCCACAAACCTGCCAGCCCTGCCCTCCTGACAGGGGACAGCCCAGCCAGCCTGGGAACTGCCCAGTGATCTCAGCGGCCCCGGGCCCCTGAGCTGGCTCTTGGCAGGGGTGTGGCCGGGGCTGCTGCCTCTCCCGGGCTTGGGCGGCCAGGACAAGAAGCCGTGGACTTTCTTACTGCCCTCCCGGTTGCAGGGCTGGGGACTTTTCCAAGAGTGACCGTGGTGGCTCCTCCTCGCTGCCCTGCGGTGCCAGTCAGTGCTCCCTGAGTGCATTTCTCATTTCCTCACGTCAGCCCCACCACGGATTGGGAAACGGAGGCTCAGAAATGGCAGGACCTGGCAAAGGTAACCCCGTCCACAAACAACAGGGCAGGTTCTGATCCCAGGAACAGAGTCACATTCCAGCAGGGACTGGCCACCCACCAGAGCAGCCCTGAGAGGCCACCCTCGGACTGTGCTCAAAGAACCTGGCAGGCCTGGGGCCCTCACCCTTGAGATGCAACCATCGTCCCGAGAGCTAGACATCCCCACCCTCCTCCAGGGTCACAGACCGAGGCACAGAGCATGCAAGTGGCTCCCCCAGGGTCCCAGAGCCCAAGGGGCAGGGCTGGGCTTGACCCCAGGTGGCCCCCCAGGGTCCCACACATCTCACAGCCACTCCAAGGTGACACCCAACTCCCTGCTCAAAACTGTGCTCTGTGCAGCCCCCAAACAATGGACGACGCACGCAGGCAGGTATCCTGAAGTGTGGGGGCAGCAGCTCCAGGCCGGGTCTCCAGCCACCCTCTCCAGAGGACCTGGGGGTCCTGCTGCCTGCAAAGTGCCCTGGAACACAAGCTCTGTCTGCCTCCACCTGCCAAGACCCTGGGCCTGTGGAACATCGCGCAGGGCTGCTCTGGCCCCCTCAGCATCAAGGTGTCAGTAGGCCTGGCCCCCAGCTCCTGATCAATGGGAATGCCTGCCCTTTGCTCCACTCCACCTGCCAGGGAGGAGTTTCCATAAGGCCAGACCCACCGACATGCGGAGCATTAAACATTCTTTTGCTGCCCCAGGACCCTCACTGGGCACTGAGTCAGAGACTCAGCAGATGCAGGAAGGGCCCTGGTGGCCCATTTGGAGGTCGGTGCCCCAGATGGTTGCCCACCTACGTGACCAGGCCACTCCAGGGTACTCACCTCCCCCACCCTGAGCCTGACTAGGGTGAGGAGTGATGGCCGGACTGGGGCAGGGAAACAGGCAGCAGTGCGGCTGCTCCCACCGAGCACGGCAGACGTCGTCATATGGAGAAACCGTCACCTTCCAGGCCTCTGCGAGCACACGTGCCCGCGGGCGTACATGTAGAGGCATGTGTGCGAGTGTGCAGGTGCATCTGGATGTACACACATAAGTGTACCCAGGGGTGTCGTGAGCACTGGGTGGGTGCATAGGAGTGTGTGTAGGTGTGCATGTGCACGCGTGCATGTAAGTGTGGGGGGCACACAGGTGTGCATGCATGTGAGCATGGGCCTGCGTGTGTGCACATATATGAGTATATGCATATATGTGTATATGCATGTGTGTGCACAGGTGCATGTGTGTGGCTGCACACAGGTGTGCATGCACAAGCTCAGCCCTTGTTATCCCCATTCCCAGACAGGACTGCACCTCACGGCTGCGCCTCTGGAATGACAGTGCTCACCCAGAAAGCCAAACCAAGATCTCAGTGCCCCTTCTCCTTCGCTGCTGAAGGCGAGTGGCTTTTTCTCTTTGCTCAGGCCCAGCAAATGTGTGTCTTTGTTGCAAATCCTCCGAGCTTGAAGTGGTGGCTGGGCCTAAGGTCCCTCTGCGTTCTCACTCCCTCAGACAGGTTTTTGCGTAATCCCCAGAGAAGCTTCAGCCAGATCCCAGAAAAATGTTATTTCCCTTTTCGGATTATCTCTTTGAATCATCCATTAAGTATTTGAGTCTCTATTATCAATGAACTTTGTTCATGGTGGAAAATACAGAAATGCAGAAAAAGTTAAAGGATGAAAAAAAAAGCTCGCACCGTTCCAGCCCCTCAACCTTCTTTTTTTTCTCCATCCTTTTGGATGCTTTCCGAAGCCTTTTAACTCCCCTGGATTCACATCTCGGGTCCCCTTCCACCCACAGAGTGGGGCTAACGCTTTGACACTCACCGAAAGCTGAGCATCGGGCAGACATAACTGGAACGTGACACACTCTGCTCCCAGCCAGGAAACCCCACTGTCCTGCTCAGAGGCGGACAGACGGGTGCAGGGCTCCTGGGCAGGAAGTGGCAATGCAGCCCACAGGCAGGCTGGGCGCTCCCAACTCCCCACGCTGCTCCTCTGTGGACAGCCCAGCCCAGGACAGGTCCCCTGGATGGGGCTCCAAGCCTGTCACTGGCAGACCTCTCCAGGAAGACAGGGGAGAAAGAGGAACATGGAGTCAGGAGGCTGTGGACTCCCCAGGCTCCTCTATCAGGGGGTTAGGAGCAGAGAAGGAATGAAGGAGCAGGCAGGCCAGAGCAGGGAGGGAGGGAGGAGTGGAGAGACGTTTTTAAAAATGAGAGCAAAAGAGAAAGCAAAGGCTAGAATGCGGGGGTGGGGGGGTTCCAGGCACCAGGCAAAGCCCTCCCCCAGCTGCCTGGGCCAGGCTACGAGCCTCCAGCCACCCTCTGGCTCTGAGTCTCCAGAGTAAATCCCACTCCCACATCCTAAGGAGGTGGCGTTGCTGAGGTGGTGGCCGGGCTCCCAGATGGGGCCACAGTCTAGTCGTGCCCAGCCCAGCCCAGTTGACACCTCCCCTCGCCCCCGCATCAGCACCTGAAGGCGAGAATTGGGTGCAGGCCCCGTCATAAACACAGGGCCAAGGTCATCACCAGCCCCGTCTGCATCCCCAGGTAAGTCTGTCATCTGGGAGACTCTGAGGGTGCGGAGGGGGTGTGACAATGGGTGTCGCCAACTGCAGGGACACAAAAGCATCACTAAGATGCCCTGCAGGCCCCTTGGCTTGTGGCCCTAACAGCGCAAACCTGTTTCCCCTCCCTGCCCTCCGGAGGGCACGCCTGCGGTGGGTGGGGGGTATCCCAGCACGTGGCAGGACGTTTGAGAATCCTGCAGTCACGGGGCAGACCTTGAGTGCGATGACCTTCTCCCCGAAAACAAACTCGCTCTGGGCTCGTCCCCAGAAGACCCCCTGAGCGGCCCTCGGTGATCTGGCGGCCAGCGCCTGCCATGCCGAATGCGGAGCCCGCGTTGTGAGGGGCTTTGAAAGCAGATTCGGTTACACAGGCGACGTAGCCGAGAGCCGAGAGCTGTTTTCCTTTCCCGCTCCCTTTCCTTGGCAGCCAGTTTGGGCCCGGCCGGCCGGGTCACCCACAGTGCAGGCTGTTTGCAAGGCCCAGCATCTTCCGTTGGCAGGACCTGGCTGCCGCCTCCAACACAAAGCCTGCCCAGGGGTCGGAGATGGTGCTGGTGGGTGCGGGGCGCTGAGCTCTCTCCCCACCCCGTGGACCCTGTGAGGGCTGCAGGCGCCTTGGACAAAGGAACACCCACAGACCAGGCGCCAGAAGGAACTGACAGGAGGCTGCGCAGCACCCAAGAGGCACACAGCTGGGTTCAAATGCCAACTCCACCCCTGCCCAGCTGTGGCCCTGGAGCAGGTCACTTCTGTCCTGGCCTTGGCTTCCTCATTCATGAAACGAACATGAGAATCACCCACCTCACAGGATAGCTGTGAGCTTTCAAATGTCAGCTTGCTGAGCTAAGCCAGGCACATGGGATGCTCCAGAAGTGCCCAGGCTGGAGTTAGGCAGAGAGGGGACACTGCCAACCTGTCCTTGCCCCTGGAGACTGACCCAGAAGTGGCACCAGCCAAAGGGGCAGTGAGCCTGGGCTGTTGAACTCAAAGGTTCCTGCAGAAGGGGGCACATACGGTGTCCAAAATGAATTCTTATACCTGTATGGTACCCCCAGGCTCCCCAACCTCACCCACCTCCCGGGCCACCCTCACCATTGATGAGCTCTGCAGTCCTTGGCCTTCAGGCGAATGGAGCCCCCGGTGTAGGAGAAGTCCTGGAATGCTGCCTTGTGGATCCCAAGGGGTGGGAGGTCCTGAGGGTGCTGTGGGCCCAGTGGGCTCAGCTGATGCCCCAGGCCCCAAAGCCCTGCCAGGGTGGAGCCTGGGGAGAGGGACAGTGCTGAAGGTGGGGAGGGGGCCATGAACTGACTTTTCTCCCACTCTGGGGGCCCAGGGGCCCTGCTGGAAGCAGGTCTGCCCCTCCCTCTAACCTCCTGCCCCTCAGACCACAGGGAGCAGCACAAGACCTCCCCTTTCCAGGTCCCAGCACAGCCCCCAGGCCTTCTTCCCTGCCCTGGGGTCTCTGGGGCCTTTCCCCACAACTTCTCATGGCCTCCCCACTTGCAGGGAGGGACAAGAGCCAAGGAACCCCAGGACTGAGTTTGAGGGGGTCATCCCAATCCCACTCCTCAGGCAACCCTGACAGCCCCCTTCTCAGGGGCACCCTCCCCCTGGCTGGACAGAGGGTGGCCTCACCGGAGCTCAAAGCCCCAAGTGGGACCATCCCCAGTGCCCACAATGCAGAGCATCCAGCACCTGCAGGCAGCGTGCAAGGCGGGGACCCACCTGCCAGGGCTGCTCCTCCAGGGGGCCTGCAGTTCTGGACTGTTCCTGGGAGGGGCCCTCCCTGGGGCCGTTCCTGGGCGGAGACCGAGGACCCTGAGGGAGGCCATGTTCCCAGGACTCCACCCACAGGGGCGGGGTCTGAGGTGTCTCCTGGGAGCTGGTCCTTATCCTGCTGAACAATGAGACTGTTTTCTTTCCCTTGATAAGTATGTCTGAGTTAAGGGTTCCCAAGCTGGGGGCGGGTCGGGGGGGAGGGTATGCGGGCACTGCTAGGAAAGTGACAGCGGGAAATGAAACCCAGGGCCTGAAGGTTGGAGCCTTCCTCCCCCAACCCTCAACGCCAGCCACCCCCCAGCACCCACCCACCCTCACCCCAGCCCCATCCCAGGCCTCTCAGGCCCCCAGAAGCCCCTCACAGCCCAGGACTCATGGAACTTAACTCTGCATGGCCACCAGGGGTTAACATGCCCACTCTCTTATCTCACTGGGGGTGGGGTCCCCACCCAGGCCAGCCCTGGCAGGTCCCTGGGTCCCTGTGAACCAAGGAAGCCTTCAGGAGAGAGGGGTCACCTGTGGCAGGGCCAGAAATTCCTTCCTGGTCTTCGTCACCTACGCTGGCTCCCTGGCTCTCGGGGCCCTGGGCACACAGCTCAGAGCCTCCATCCCTGCATTGGGGCCCTGGGCACACAGCTCAGAGCCTCCATCCCTGCATTGGGGCCCTGGGCACACAGCTCAGAGCCTCCATCCCTGCATTGGGGCCCTGGGCACACAGCTCAGAGCCTCCATCCCTGCATTGGGGCCCTGGGCACACAGCTCAGAGCCTCCATCCCTGCACTGGGTTTTATCTCAGCCAGCATTAGCCCAATGCCTGCTGCATGCCCATCCCGGGTCAGATGCTGTTAGTACCCAGTCCCACTAATGCCTCCCCAAAGCCACTGTGAGAGGCAGGCACTATCATCACCCCCACCTTACAGAAGAAGAAAGGCACAGAGAGGGAAGCAGCTCACCCAAGGTCACACAGCCTGGAGATGCCAACGCTGAGTCCCAAAGGTCTGACTATGCCCACTTGATGCCCTGACCCGCTGTTCCTGAAGCTGTCCTCCTGGCTCAGCTTCTGCTGAGGTGACAAGATGGAGGCACACAGCCATTTGACCACACAGCACAATGAGGCACCAGGAAGGGAAGAGAGCAACGTAGGGGAAGGGACAGGAAGGGACCTGCAAGATGGGCCTTGAAGGATGTGTAGGAGTTTGGCAAGTAGAGAAGAGGGCAAAAGGCCCATTAGGAAGCAGCATGGGCAAGGTCCAGCGGAGAAGAGGGCTTGCTGCTGGGTGGGGTAGCCTGGTGGACTGGGTCACCTGGCTCAGGGGCCACCTCCTTCCTGAGGGGCCCAGAGCACTGGGAGTGGAGAGCTGCACAGAAGCATGGCTCATGGGGGTCAAGGAGGTCGGGGGCACCTGGGTTTTGAGGTTTGAGATGAGACTCCTCTCTTTTTGGCTCAAGTAGAAACAGATCTGAGAAGAGGTCCAGATACTGTCACAGACAACCCCCGCGGATGGGTGCCCACCCCCACGGATCACTGTGGAGGCAGCTGGATCCACGTGGAAAACGCCGCCAGTGGCTTCTCCCGCTGCTGCAGAGCAGGTGAGCTTGTGAGTCGCCTGGCAGGACACCGAGTGGCCAGAACAGCCCGGACTCCCAGCCCTGTGCTGCCTTGTGTGGGGTGCAGCCTCGGAGGGGCCTTCAAAGAGTAACTTTTCACTTCTCTGCTCTCCATGGAGTCCCAGGGTTTAATACAAATGTCCATTGTAGATATTTATTAACTTAAAAAAGCAACCAACCGCTATCACTCAGAGACTCCCTTCCTTGTTTTAATTGGTTTGTTTAATTGCTAGCTGTGTGGCCTGGGGCAGGTTAGCTCACCTCTCTGCGCTCTGTTTCTCCATCTGTATATGGGAATGATAATGTGATCTAGTGCATAAGATTGATGTGAGAATTAAACGGAAATGTCAGGACAAATCACAGCACCCGGGCAATGTTGGTGTTTCCTATTCAAGAACTTCACCGATTTTATTACAAGTAAGAAGCACGAATCCCTCCCCTGTTCACCCTGCAGTGTACCAGGTTTGCTGTGGCTCTTGTTCTCTAGACCTTTCTTGGGGTGACGGGTGGCTCAGCCCCCAGCAAGTCAGGAGTGTCCCTTTTTACTTCTCTTCATTCTTGGTGCTTATGAGGGCTCGGTAACCGAGGCTTTGAGGGCAGAGGGGTCAGAGCTTGGGTCCAACCAGCTTTGCTGCGCTAGAACCTTCTGCAGCCGCTTGCACTGCGCTGCACCCTCTCGCCCGCGCGGAGGCCCGGCACCTCTCCCCACCTTCATGGAGCGCACTGCCATCCACAGACAAAGTCTGCAGGTGTGGGGGCAAAGAGAGACCCTCGTGGAGACCCCGAGTGCGGGGAGAGCAGAAAGCAGGGGAGTCCACACAGGGCAGGCAGCACCAACTGGGGTTTCTGAGGACAGGAAAGGAGGGAGTGTCTGGTGGGAAGCTGGCGAGGAGGGGGCTGGGAGCTGGTAAAGGGGTAACGGAAGGTCGCCTAGCTGCCTACCCCAATGGCACTCACCCCCCACCCCAGCCTGCCCTGCTCCACCCTCTTCTGCACAGGCCTGAGCCCGCTGTGGAGCCCTCTGTGGGGTCCCAAGGCCCCCACAGACCAGGGGCTCCAGCCTGCTGCCTTCCCAGACGCAGGGACCCTGGGCGCCTCCACAAGCACCCCGAATCCTTATCTGCTGTGGGCGAAGAGGAAAGGCCAGGGATAAGGGTGCATGTGGGGCACCCCAACTCTCCCCAGACGGACAGCGCTGGCCGTCCAGACCCCCGTGGGGGGGATCCAGTGACACCCACCCCAACAGCTCCACGCTGCCGCCTTCCTGCCTTCCCAGGTCTTCACCCTCCACCAAGGAGAGAAGCCAGCGTCCTCTCCTAGCCCTGACTGACAGGAGCTGAGGGCCCGTTTCTGCAAGAAAAAACTTTCGTGGGGTGGCTCCCGCCTGTAATCCCAGAACTTTGGGAGGTCGAGGTGGGCGGATCATCTGAGGTCAGGAGCTCAACCGAGACCAGCCTGATCAACTTGGTGAAACCCCGTCTCTACCAAAAATACAAAAATTAGCCGGGTGTGGTGGCGGGTGCCTGTAGTCCCAGCTACTCGGAGGCTAAGGCAGGAGAATCGCTTGAACCCGGGAGGCAGTGAGCTGAGATCGCGCAGCTGCACTCCAGCCTGGGCGACTGAGCGAGACTCCGCCTAAGAAAGACAGAAAGAGACCCCATCTCTACTAAAAAATACAAAAAACTAGCCGGGCGAGGTGGCGGGCGCCTGTAGTCCCAGCTACTCGGGAGGCTGAGGCAGGAGAATGGCATAAACCTGGGAAGCGGAGCTTGCAGTGAGCTGAGATCCGGCCACTGCACTCCAGCCTGGGCGACAGAGCGAGACTCCGTCTCAAAAAAAAAATAATAATAAAAAAAAAATAAAGACAGAAAGAGAAAAACTTCCATGGCCCCAAGCACCGCCGCCAAGCCTGGGTCTAGTCGGTGTGCTCCGAACCCACCGGTCCGGTTCCCGAGACCTGCGGAGCTGCTCCGCCGCAGCGACGCCTCCATGCAGCCCTCACCGGGAGTGCGAGCGGGACACGGTTCCCTGACCTGGGTCGCTTCCTACCTACCCGCATTTCTGGCCCCTGAAGGAAACTCTTCCCGAGTCCCCGAGAGCCGGCTGAGAGTCCCACCGGGATTGCGGGCTTCGCGCCTGGCACCCAGATCGGGCCTTAGAGGCTGGACCCTGCCCGCCTCCCACTAGGACCCCGAGCCTCGTGGCCCCGCTTGCTCAGAAACCGAGGAAATCGCGGGGCTCCCGCCAGTGCACCCCGTCCCGGTCCAGCGACCCGAGCCAGGCAGTCCCTATGGAAGCCAGTTCCCTGCACCGAGCCTCGAATGCAGCCACGCAACGAGGGGGCCCACGGAGTTCCACCGCCTCGTGTCCATCGGTGAGCGGGGCCGGGATCACCGACTCAGCCACCAGACACGGAGCCCGTCTCTAGGCCAGCCTTGGGCGGGGGCCTGGCCAGGGAGGAACTCGCACAAAGTTGGAGACTCGCACAAAGTTGGAGAAGTTTCTGCGCCCGACTCGCCGGGGCTCACGAAGGTCTCGGCCGCCTGTGTAGCTGCACTGGTCCGGGCTCCGCGCTGGCCGCCCCGTGTCGTGCGTCCTTGTCGCCAAGCCCCGCGAGCTGAGCCTGCCCGGGTCACGTGGCTCTGCGGCCGGAGCCCCAGCGCTGACCCTGCGGGGAAGGAGGGGCGGCCGCGGGGAGGGAAGGGGCGGCGCGGCGGGGGCGGGCCGGGGCGGCGCGGAGGGGGCTGCGGAGCCTCACCGCCCCCGGCTTCCAGTCTTCGGCCCGCCGGTCGCCGACCCACCGCCGCCACCGCCGTGCCCTCCCGCCCTCCCTGCCCGCTGGTGAGTGCTCCAGCCCGGGCCGCAGCCGCGCGCCCCTCT